CTGGGCAGGGAGGAATAAAGAATAATAGTAAAATGACAAAAGTATTAATAATAGTAGTAGTTTTAAAGCAGACAAAAGCGAGCAAACTAAAAACCAGAAAAAAGAAAGAGAAAAAAAAATTGGGGGAGGGCAGGGCAGGGCACCCAGGCTCCGTCCAAGCACACAGAGTGGGATGGAGTTCTTGTGGGTCCAGAAGGTGGGTGGATGGCTGAACCTCCTGATACCTGTAGCATACTATAAATATATATAGTATCTTTTTGGGAGGTCTGGTGGCGTAGTGCCTAAGGCATTTGACTGGTATCCAGAAGGCTGTCAGTTCAAACTTACCAGCCACTCCTTAAAAGGAATATTGGGCAATGTACTTCCATAGTGATGCTGCATCGGAAACCCAAGGAGGGGTCACTATGAGTTGGATCTGCTTTGATGGCAGTGAGTATAGTTGTTATTGTTGTTAGGTGCTGTTGAGTCATCTCTGACTCATAGTGAGACTGTGCACAGCAGAACGAACCACTGGTCTGCACCAGCTCTGTGATCCCTGTTATATTGGAGCCCATCATGGGAGGCACTGTGTCAATCCATCTTGTAGAGGGCCTTCCCCTCCTTTGTCAATCCTCCACCTTACCAAGCATGACATCCTTCTCCAGGGAAAGGTCCCTTCTGACAACATGACCAAAGTAGGTGAAACGAAGTCTGGCCATTTTTGCCTCTAAGGAGCATTCTGGCTGCACTTCCTCCAGGACAGATTTGTTAGTTCTTTTAGCAGTCCACGGTACTTTAAGCATTCTTCTCCAGCACCACATCTGAAAAGCATTCTTCTTCAGTTTTCCTTATTCATTGTCCAGTGCTCACATGCATATGAGGCGACTGAAAATATCATGGCTTGTGTCAAGCACACCTTAGTCCTCAAGGAGACATCCTTGCTCCTCAGCACTTGAAAGAAGTCCTTTGCAGCTGACTTGCCCAGTACTATATGTCTTCTCATGTCCTGACTGCTGCCTCCATTGGCGTCAATTGTAGAACCAAGCAATGTGAAGTCTT